TTCATTTTGGAGCCAAAATATACAAACGGGATAATCAAGAACTTATTAAGAATCACCTTCATTTAATCTGATTTGGCAAAATGCAACAATTTAAGAACATGAATGTTTAATGAGCAGCGTCAACTTTATTAAAAATATAAATCAAAAGTTTTTCTTGTGGTTTAAACTCGCGTCATTAAACAGTTTCACATTTTATCACCTTCACATGTGAAACGTCACCGAGGACGACGAGCCACACACACACACACACACACACACACACACACACACACACACACACGTTAATGGCCCCACTGTCACTGTGTGTGTGTGTTTGTGTGTGTGTGTGTGAAAAACATTTAAGTGACTAATAATAAACATTAAAATCCCTTGCTCTGTCATTTTATTTCTATTTCATGTGATGGCTTCATTTTCATGGTTTCACTGTGGCCATGTTTGTGATAGTCTTGATAAATGCAGTGTGTGTCTGTGTGTGTGTGTGTGTGTGTGTGTGTGTGTTTGTTTATTCCATCAGCATTAGCAAAGCTCTGAGGACGAGACAGAGACTCTATCAGCTCGAACAACAAATGAACTAAAACAATGATATCTATGAAGAAGAAAAAAAAAAGAAGCTGTTATCCTCCAACACCGACAAAGAAAAACAACAGTGAGGCGGCGCTCTGCAACCTGCTAATGTTAGCAACTGATGCCTAATTTCCTTTTGATTACAAAGACGTCCCACGCTCTCCTCTCAAGTGACGTTTAATTGTTTCTCAAAGTAAATCATCAACTCAGCAAACTAAATTTGACAAATAGCAATAACAAACTTGCAGCGCTGGGAGACGAGAGGGAGGAGGAGGGGGGGTGGGGGGGGGTGGGGGAAATGAATTAATTAAAGAAGAAAAAAAAAGAAAGAGGAGCCGTCGCCTGCAGTGGATGTGAAACAAGAGTTTTTGCCTTTAAATGAAGTGCGGAGCATATGTGAGGGCAGAGACACGAGGAGAACAAACTGAAACACAATGAAACACTTCATCTTCAAAAATACTGTCAGAGATGTTGAGATTATATAAAATAAAATGTTTTAAATGAGTAAAGTCATCAGATAAACTGTCAGGATGTTGAGATTATATAAAATAAAATACTTTAAATCATTAAAGTCATCAGATAAACTGTCAGAGATGTTGAGAATACACAGTAGCAGAGAAAATATAAAATATAAAACAATGAAAAACTAAAACGCAACTGAAATCTGCCCCTAGTGGCCACAGATCGACCTCTGTAGCTTGTACACAGAGAACGTGTCGAGCACAACAAACGCGACGAGCGACGAAGGAAACATTCTCCCGTCAAGATGCCAAAAAGATTGAGACGATATATTTAGTTTCTTCCTCAATAAATTATTTCACCAGCTACGATTAAAATCAAGTTTAGGTTAAGATGCAGGTTAAAAATATAAATGCAATACTTATATTCTTATATATTCAAACACATGTTTGAAATTCCATAAAAGCTTCACAGGATTAACATTCAGATTATGATCTAATCAATAAATATATTTAATATTGTGATCAGGATTTTAAAAAGCTTCTGTTTTTTTCTAAAAATCTAAAACCAAAAAGGACGAGCAGCTGGAGGCAGAAATAAAAAAAATTAAAAAAAACACGTCTCAGCCTCATTGTTGAGACGTTGATGTTGGCAGAAGGTTTGGAGGCCGGTCCGTCCCAGAGACAGAAACACGGAGGAGCAGCAAACGTCCAAACAGACGCTTGAAGGCTGAGTTTTTTACGAGACAAACGGAAAACGTGCAGAAAATTCTTTGTGTCACTGAAATTAATAAAACGAGAGTTTAAAGGGTTCAGATGAACAAAATGATCAATATCTGCTCATAGATTCAAGCAAACTGTTGTAAGTTATAATCACATGTTGTACAGTGTAATGGTATTTTCTGGATAGTACACATAAAAAAATATTTTTGTACTTTATTATAAGAACTATATTATTGCAGGAGTATAAGAATCCTGCTGATGGGATATTCTCAAACTCTGTAAAAGATAAATAAAGTGGCTTCATGTCTTTTTCCATGTGGGATAAATATAATTGTATTTTTCCACCAGGGAACTGAATGAGCTTCTATCACTTCCTGTTGGTTTGACCTTTGACCCTGGACGTTGAAACAACAGTCGCTGCACAAAGGAGAAAAACTCAAGAACGGAAAATTGGTGTCTTGTTTGGAATTTGTTGCTCGGGGAACAGGAAGTTAAAAACTCTTTTAAGAATCCTGAAATAAAATTTAAAAAAACGATGATAAAACTGAACACCTGTCGACAATCCGCTTTTCAAAATAAAAGCCAGAGCTCCGCACAAAGGCCTCTGGGCTGAACCTGACTCGTGACACGACAGAGCTGCTGCTGCTCGAAGACGTCGGAGATGAAAGCGGAACAGATCTAAAGCCACGGAGCGCTCGGTGCAGCCCCTGCCCTCCGTCACCACCGGAGCCAGGACTGCCTCCGAATTTATTTTCCTGCAGCGTCAGCGGGGCCGTCCCCTCACGGCCTCACCGCATCATGTGAATGGAAGGAAGTGGCGAGGATCACTCACATCACAGAGGTGGAAACGGAGCGGCGAGACCAATCAGGGCCTCACGGACAGGAAGTAGAGACATGTCCTGGATCACATGACCCACCGCACGACACTTATACAAGCGTAGGTGGTTGATAGAGATGTGTGTGTGTGTGTGTGTGTGTGTATGTGTGTGTGTGTGTGTGGGAGGGAGGGGGTGACGACACATTGTTGAATGTTCACATCCAGCGTCTCACCTGGTGGTGCATCTCGGGTACTACATTTGGCAGTTTTGGTTAATTGGTGAAAATGTCGGCGGCGTCCCGTTTAGCACTGAGCCTTTTTCTAGTTACTTCACCAAGAGTTAGAAAACTCCAGAGCTGCGTTTCAGTCCGGACGATCACAACCACAGACGTTTGTAAACAACGACATCTGACTACCAGCGCCGCTAACACTTCCTGTCGGTGACAGTTCCCCCTCGCCGTCGCTCGCAGTATTTTCTGAAACCAAACCTCTGCGGAGCGAACTCTGGCGTCGAGTCCCATGAAGAGCACAGAGTGGTGGAGTTCATCATCGGCAGAGTTGAGACGTCGTCTTCAACACATCATCTCACAGCTCACTGACAATTCTGAAGTTCTCCGTCCTCAGACATCACCAGCGTGTTCCTCGATGCAACGACCGACACGTGATGTAAACGCAGATGTCACCGTATCATCACCCCGGATCCCACACACGTCTGTTACATGGCACAGCTTCATGTCAGTACATGTTTGTCATGTGTCAGAGACTGAGTGGCTGAAAGGCTTCACCCCCGTCAGTGTTTTTACTCAGACGTCTGATAAATGTACTGCAGGAAGTACCAGGAAGTTTAATACGCAGTACTTGTCCAATTAGAATAAAGTATCTGATACCACGTTTGTTTTCTCCACAGGAAACATCTCATTCTTCACCTTCACACACGTGAAAGAAAAAACAACAAAACACACTTCCCCCCCTCCACTTTTCTGTTCTTTTTTTATTTCCTCACCTCTTTTCCTTCACCCCCTCCTCAGAGAGGACGAGGGGGGAGGAAGCCGGGACACAGCGGGCCGAGGCCTCCAAAAAAAAAGGGGGGGGGGGGCTCCTGCTGAGCCAGAAACTGCTGCTGACACGTTCGTACATTCAGCCGTCGTTAACAAGTCACTGATGAGGTCAGCGTGGAGAAAAGAAACTCTCCACGTTTAAAACTGATGAAAACCAAAATCTGACGACTGCATCTTGATTCTCTGATATTTTAATCTTTCCCAGTCGTCAAACTAAAAACAGATTCAACACAAGAAAGAGAAAATCATCACATGCAACTTATTTTCTCTGATTAGCCGCTCGACAGAATATTCATCAAGCGATCGATCGACAAGAGTCCAGTAAAATCTAGTGAAACACAGAGAAGCTCAGCAAACGTTCTGCTGCTGATTAAAACAATGAGTCACAGCTTCTCGCGTCCTGACGTGTGGCAGCAACAATCACAATATATTCAGTTTACAACCGTACAAAACTGAGCTAAACGTCCCATTTCAGAGGAAGGAACAAGCCACTTCCTAAAAATAGACGATTTATTTCCTTTGGAACGACACATCGTTCTCACAGCAGTTTGTCGTTTGGTTGAATAATGTTCCCGAATGTGAAACGAAGCTGAGTGAAGTCGTCCGACCGGCACATCGATCCGAACGAGCACAAAACCCAAATACCTGCTCAATCAATCAGGGATCATCAAGTGGACTCAACCTATCGTCCACGAACAGTGAAACAAACGCTGGACGTCTTCACAGGAAATACAGCAAATTAAAATCTGTATAAAACAACATCATGTGTTATAAACTGTTTGGTTTGAATAAGAAGATGTCAAGTTCAAATATTACTTTCAAATGTTTTTATAAAATAATAATTCTTGTCTTATTGACTGTGGGATTAAAAGTCGTCCAGCTGATTCTTAAACCACAGAAAACAGAACAACTCGTTTCAAACGTGATTTAAAAAAAACTCAAACATACAAAGAACAGAATCCAGATCCAACGAGTGATTGAAAAATTAAACAATAACTGAATCTATAAAAGAGGAAACTGAGCCTTCAAAGCCACAACATGTTTAAATATATGTTTTCATTTCAATTTCAATAAAAGTTTTATTTATCTTCACAGATAAAGACGTCTATATCATTTCCTGTCTCAAAATGTCTGAACATTTAGATCCTGTCTTTAATGTTGGATTATTTATTCTGTCGTCCAGTTGACTAAATAAACAAGGAACCTTCCACACACACACACAGCTTCGGCTCCGACAGCAGCGTCGTCATCATCGCAAAAACACACAGCGATGACAAACCCCCCCCCCCCCCACAACAAAACCAGCTCAGTGAACAAGCAGCCGCGACGACACCTCACAAATAACAACAATAGCAAAAAAAATGGCATGTGATCACTTACTGAGGACGGCAAGCCGGGAGGGACCTTCCGCACTTTTTTTGTTTGAATCTCTGAAAGAAAAAAAAAAAAAAAACCAAACAAAAGATGAGACTGGAGAGGCTCTAAAGGACGTTTGAATTTAATCGATCACCCACACACGAGGGAGAGAGGCCATGTTTCCCACCGCCCTTGATTTATTTACAAAAGAAAAAGCTTCAGTGCAAACAAGCAGGAGGAACGAAGATGCGGGGAAATAAAGACGGAACAGAAAAAAAGGACAGGAGGGATTTTTTATTTTTTAATTTTTTTTTTTCGTTTTGGCTTGATAAAAAAAAAAGAGGAAGAGCGGCTTTTGACATGTTTATATTATTTTTCAGGGCTTCTCTCAAGGGGAGCCAGGAAGCAGTCTATTAACTGGGAAGGTGAGACTTTGATGGAAAAATGAAAGAGCATGTTTCTTTTTTTTACGGGGGGGGTTGGCCCAGAGACGCTGTGTGTGTATCTGTGTGTGTTTGTGTGTGTGTCCTCTCAAGGCTAACGCTACCAAGGCTACATGGCAGCCACTATTGTCCTGCTTTAAAAGACTTCCCTGTATTTTCTTTTCTTAAAGTCCCTTTGAAAACACTCTCTCTCTCTCTCTCACACACACACACACACGGACAAACAGGATGGTCACACACAGTCACACAAACACTCACACACTCACAATGTTCGGCCTTCTGAGCGGCCATGTTTCAGACGGCGGCTGTGAACCGGGATTTCACAGCAGCCGCTGCAAAAAGTTTCAGTTTAGAGTCTGAGGACAGATACAGTGATTATCAGACGCCGTGTGAACGCGCTGCTTTATTTCAGCTGCTGTTGGGACAAATATTCTGCGTCATGTTAGAAATGTTGACGTGGATTCAGGCCTCAGATCACTCGTGTTGTTGTCTCGTGATCTGACGTCAGGGTCGTTCCTTCCTGCTGCTGCTGAACAACCAGGAAATCACATCACCTCAAATCTCTCTCAGGTTTTCAACTAATTCAGCTGTGCAATCAATTCTTTAAATATCATTTATGTGCTACTGCTACTAATGCTAATACTTATTTATTACTTTTACTCACTGTGTATTTCAATATTCACCTTTTGCTGCTGTAACACGATAACTTCCCCATAGGAGAACTAACAAAGGAAAATCTTATCTCATCTTAAATATTCATATATTTATATAAATCAGATGAGGTGATGAGCGAAACGTTCGCTGCTTTTGTGTTTTTCTTGTAAAACTTTTATAGAATAAATTGTCTCCATCCTGGTGAGCCCTGGAATTATAATATATATTATGTTAATATTTGATTTATCAACATGGTTGAATCTTTGATTTAAAATCTAGAATTGTTTTCACTGCGCCCCCTGATGTACCATCACACTGAAAATGAATATTTTAAATATTTTTTATTAGACATTCTAATACTGCACCTTATTAAAACTACAACTTTGTTTGAATTTTCTTACTTTTTTTTAAATTATATGGCTGCTATGACAAATAAATGTTCCCCCAGGGACAAATCAAACCATCTATCCATCCATCTGTCTGTTCCATTAATTAGTAATGAACCTCCTCTGTAATGTGGTCAACAAAAACTAGTCAAAGTCACATTCACGTGTTGACGTCTCTAAACATGGCGTGTGTGCGTGTGTGTGTGTGTGTGTGTGTGGCGGCGCCTCACCCATGGTGTCCATTGGCAGTGTTCTCCTCCGAGGGTTGGAGCTGTAGTGCTGGTAGTACTGACCGGCCGGCTTCGTGGGTGACGCCGTGCCCGGACTCCCCAAACCCAACTCACCGCCCAGTATCGACTGGTCGAGAGACAGACAGAGACAGAGAGAGCGAGAGAGAGAGAGAGAGAGAGAAAGAGAGAGAGAGAGAGTATTAATCTAACGATCAGAAAGAATCATGTGATCTTGTGGCTCGAGGGCAAAATGAACGACTCATCTGGCAGAAATAAATATCAACAATAATGAAAACATATTCTCTGGGTTTCTGAAGACGTCAGGACTCCGGTTTCAGACGTGGTCGTGAAAATGAATCATGACGACAACAACAACAACAGTTTCATCAGTTCTCGGGACGCCATCGTTTCTCTAAACAAACAAAGTCGCCGTGGAAGATGATCAGAGCGAGAGCGACAGAGACGAGCTGACAGGATTTCAGCTGATTGACGGGTCTGAAGCCAGTGAGCTGAGTTTGAGGGAAAAAAATGTGTTCAAGTGGAAATTCTTCATTTATTTCTTGATATAAAACCAACATCGCAGTATTTTGACATTCAAATCTCACTTTGATGACTCATCGTGCCGTCAGGGGCGTGTGCTAACTTCACGTCCAATGAAAATGCACCGCTGACTTCAGCTCGAACACATTTGTCCTCGCTCCCGAAAAAACGATTTAATCGCGGCGGTCGTGCAAATTCAGAGACCAAGCTGCTGCTGACCCGTCTGGAGTGAGGCAACAACATCCACATCCATTCCTACAGCAAACACGTGAATATTGTGCGATCGGGTTCGAGCCGACAATCAGACTGACACAACGTTGTGTTACCATCCATCATCCATTCCATCGTGGCATATGAATGAAAATGTCTGTGTCTTTAAAATAGTGATGGTTATAATAGTGTGGACGGACACGTGGGTATGGAAGTCAAAGTGTGCCAACATCAAGAAAATGATTTAATCCAGTGAAAATGTCCCTAAATAAAAAATCTAAATC